CGGCTCGCTGTGCCTAACGGTGCTTCCCCGAGAAACCCGTGCAGAACTCCGTGCCTGTGAGCGTTGTACACATAAACCATGGTCTTGTTTGCAGGTTGGGGTGTTTTGGGCTTGGTTGTTTGGTTTGGAGTTGGTTTTGTTGGGGTTTGGGTTTTTTTTTGAAACCTTTTTTTCCCCCCCATCTGATTATCCTCCTGCTTTAGCACATCTCAGTGCAACTTTAAGTGTTTTTGGCCACTGCTGTCTAGTTAGATGTTGCTTCTCAAATATGAGGTCTTTATATGGGTAGAGAAGTGAAGTATCTGAAGCTGATTAGAAGTTCAACTTCCACAAATACACATATTTTCCTTGAAATACTGGATTAAAAGCTCTGTGCTGTAATAAAATAGGCTAGTGCGTATGACCGACTGTAATAAAACGTGTGAAATTGTTCTTGTAATAGGCTGTGTTAGTGCTGAAATAATGTAGCTTTTGGCTACTGTAATTGCACATAATCACATTGTAACCACACAGCCTTTGACTTGATACTGTGAGCGGTGCTTATGGTGGAAGTAACTACAACAGTAAGATGTAAGAACCTGAAGTGTTGGAAAACACAAGCTGTGACTCAGTAGCTTTGTATGCATAGAATTTTTGCTGAATGCATGATTGTTGAGCTTTTTCGATTTTATTTCTGGCATGTGTAAGTTCTACCTCAAGTAAACTTAAAGTTATAGGCTTTCTGCATATCTTAAACTAGATTTGAAATCACTTCGATAGTATATTTCCTTCATGAGCTAATACAGCTTTGATGGATATTGCACAGCCTTAATGTAAACTCACTTTATGATTGTATGTTCAATATACACATAAACATGCTGCCTGCATATATAGAGGGTAAGTTGGTGGAAAATCACATACAACTTAGGATACGATTTCTTTCTCCCAGCTCCATGTACCTGATTTTTAATAGAGATTTATATTTCTATTGTCTTTCTATAGATGAGTGTGAAGAAGCTTTTTTTGCGGATAGCTTTTTGTGCAGCTGGCGCTTAATGTGTGCTCTGATGAAAAAGCAGGGCAACATTCTTAAAATAGAAAACACGAGGCTGATTTTGAACAGCTAATTAATTTTGTGTTCTAGACTCTATTAGTAGTCCTGGGTGTGTGGGTGGCTTTGGGTGTGTTTGTAGGGAAGTGTTTCCTCCTCAAAGTAAAACTGAAAGGTCTCAAAGCCTGTGCAGAACAGTTTTGGTTTTTTCCCTTCAATTTAACTTTTACATGAAGGTTTAAAGGGTGGGAGTAGATCTCTCATATTTCCTAGGTGTTGAGAACATGTATCGTGAGGTATAAATTGCCCGTTTCCTGAGCTTCGAGGTCATTTCCCACATGCATGTGGTAGCTGGTTTGCACAGAGAGTTGTTTCCTCCTACAGTACATCCATCCTATCAGAATTAGTGTATCTTACTGAATACCCAGTTCACTTAAAACTCGTGAATTTGAGTTAATTCTCTGGAAAGGAATATGATTGTTTTCAAGCAGCTAACTCCTAGTGATGGTGATTCACTCTTTCTCTGGTTCCCACCTAGATATTTGATACAAGAATCAATCATTTTTTTGTCAGTGTTGACAATATAGTAAGATTCCATCTATAATAAGATTCAAAATACAAACATCTGAATGCAGGAATGGAATTCTTGTGTGTTACCAGAAGCGCTTACTTTAAATTTTCACACTGACAAATGTCCAGGCTGTTTGAAAAATTAAGTTGTTTATGACCTTGTGCTAGAGTGTTGACATAATACTTAACCTGTGAGGTAGACACACAGAAGTGGAATTATGTATATGCAGATAAAGGTAACGTTTTCAGTTCCCTGAACAGTGATCAGGCTAATTGTAATAGTACAAGTGTTTTCTTACTCGATTTAAAGTATTTCCATAATTTAGAAGATAGAGGTAGCTAAGGTTGCCTGGTGCTTCACATCTAGCCATTTAATCTTAGCTGCCTGGCTTTTGGGGGAGTTAGCTTGTCTCTTTTTCCCCAAAGCTTATCAATTTGAACTATTTTTTTTCCCCTTCTATGTCTCTGCTTTGGACAGATGTTTGTAAGTTCTTGGGGTTGGGGCGGGGGGAGGGAACAAAGACATCCCAACCACACAAAGTTAGTCTTTTTCAGTAAAGAAATTTTGGATGAAATGTTTTTAACTTTTTTTTTTCTTTTTCCTTTCTTTCCCTCTTCATTTTTGAGAAGTGTTGGATCTCTGGGAACTCTTTCTGCAAGAGCCAAATGACTTCTGCCTTTGTGTCAGAGATGTGCCATTTGCTCTTTCAAAAACTTCTGCACATTTTGCCAAATGCTGTTGTTAAGCAAATGATCTGAAGAGTTGAGGCAGTATCTAGAACAAAGAGCACTTTGAAGTATCAGGCAAGGCAAGGAGTCCTGTTGTGGCAGAGCATGATACGAAAATGTAGTTTAAAGGTGTCATAGCCCCCCATGTCTCTAAGGCCTGAATTATATACACACAGGCAACCTTGATTTGATATATCCTAATTGTGCTTGATTTAATAGTATGGATTCTTTTGGGTTTTTAATGTGGAGAACTGTTAGAAAAAGGATTTCTCATGAGACTTAATTACTTTCTTAGACCTGTTTTTGAATAATTTTAACTGAGTTTTCCTTTTTTCCAGAATGGTGAACACACATAGAAGATTACCAGAACTGTGTAGAATTTGCATTTGATTCAAGAGCTTGTAAGAGTACTCATCATGGAGAAGCAGCAGATTGTCTTGGGGAGCCGGGATGGTGGGACTGTGTCTGGTGCGGCGCCTGCTTTTTTTGTCATCTTGAAACAACAGCAGGGGAACGGTAAAGCTGACCAAGGAATCCTAGTAGCAAACCATGATGCTTGTGCTCTTGCCAGCAGCGTATCAACTCCAATAAAATCCAAAGTCAAGACCTGCCTCCCAGCTGACTGTGTCTCGGGAGGCATTACTGTCACCCTAGATAACAACAGTATGTGGAATGAATTCTACCATCGCAACACAGAGATGATTCTGACGAAACAGGGAAGGCGCATGTTCCCATACTGCCGATACTGGATTACAGGTCTGAATGCTAATCAGAAGTACATCCTAGTCATGGACATATCTCCTGTGGACAATCACCGATACAAGTGGAACGGCCGTTGGTGGGAGCCCAGTGGGAAGGCAGAACCACATGTTCTCGGGCGAGTGTTTATTCATCCAGAATCCCCTTCCACTGGCCACTACTGGATGCACCAGCCTGTATCCTTCTACAAACTCAAACTTACCAACAATACCCTGGACCAGGAGGGTCATATAATCTTGCATTCTATGCATCGTTATCTGCCACGACTTCACTTGGTGCCTGCAGACAGAGCCACAGAAGTCATTCAGCTCAATGGCCCTGATGTCCATACATTTACCTTTCCACAGACAGAGTTCTTTGCAGTTACAGCCTACCAGAACATCCAGATTACCCAACTGAAAATAGATTACAATCCTTTTGCTAAAGGATTCAGAGATGATGGGTTGAACAGTCGACCTCAGCGTGATGTGAAACAAAACAGTAACTTAGAATTGGGTGATGTTTTTAGTGCTGCTGGCATTCGTGGTCCCCCTGCTGAAGTTGATACGTTAGATTTGCGTCACAGAAGTTTAGATTCTTCATTCATTGGTCAAAACCCATCAGACATTGATCTGGAAAAGGAGTCCTTTAATGCGGAAAGGGACTTCCTGGGTTTCCTGGACACTGACCTGTCTTCAGGTGATATGCCAAAGCTAAAACAAGAAGTCTCTGAAAGGTGGGTTAACTTTTTTTTTTTTTTAGCACAAGTGCTGGTTGAGTGGGTTATTTGGTAAAACATTAAATAATAGGATGCTCACTATACAGTTATACAGCTAAAGTTTGCCTGACCTGAAATGGCAGGACACTTAGTATTACTAAAAGCTTTTCTTTGCTTAAACAGTCATGTGTCAGTCTGGACTTTCTAATGTGTCTGAGGAGTGTAAGAGTTCAGTATTTTTTCGTATGTTGCTTTAACTCCCTTTTTAAAGAAGTGTTGAGGGATTTCTCTTAACCCTCTTAGCATTTTAGAAGACTAAATTTATTTTTTCAGAGTTTTAAACAGAGCACATTGCAGTCATCAGAACATTGCCTTTCCCTTCTTTTTAGGGTTGCTTACCACAGCAACATGCTGTCTCTGTCTTCAGTTTTCACTAGCGGATGGGTGAGGATGTGTGGTGGGTGTGGGTATTTAAAGGTTGGGCATGTGTAGGGATTGCTACAAGGCAGTTGCAACTGGCAGCACGCCACTGTTTTGTCAATAACTGCTTGTGTGAATTCTTTTGTTCCACAAAGTAGTATGAGGTGCCCTGCCTGTTGGTAGTCAGTTGCCTCATGTTTGCTGTGAGGTAAGAGAATCTGCACCTAGGAAAGTACTTCAGAATAACTGTTAGATTGCTCAGACCTTAATTTACTCTGTGGTAATTTTATGTCTATGTACTTAACCAGTATTGACTTTTTGAACCATTCTATTCATATTGCACAAACAGTAGGAAAGCAATTTAGTGTATATTGAGAGCCTACCCATAGTGTGAAACCTGCTAACCAGTAAGTGTTTGTGTTGGTAGAGAAAGTCTGGCAAAACCTATTACTTTACTGCACTGTCAATTAGTTTCTAAAATCTAAGAAATAAAATAGAGCAGATTTAGTCAGTGGTTAATTTACATCAAGAGATGCTAGAAATGCTTTGAACCTGAATAAGTTTTTTTGGTTTTTTTTTTTGTTTGTTTGTTTGTTTTTTTTAAAAAGTTGTTTTTCCCCTGCCATGTTTCTGCATGTCTGTGTGTGAATACCAGGCTTAACCTGCCAAAGATTTAGTGGCAAAAGCAGCCTTACGTGCATCAGTACACCAAGAAATTATTTATCTGCAGGATAGCAGGACAATGCTAATGGTGTAATTAGAAGTCAGTTCTTAGAAGAAAAAAAGTTGTATTTATGACATAATTATGCAGTTTATTTCAAAGGCTGTATTACTATCCTACTTCAGTGTGTTTTAGAGAAGACAGAGGATTGCTCGATTTATTGGGGTTTTTTCCTTGCAAAAAGCATCTCCTTGCCTTTTGAGTAACCAAAAAATTTCAGATTACAAATTTCTCCGTTCTTTGAGACTTTATTGAGTATAGTTGTAACAATTCTTAAGAATACTAGAATTGTTTTGGGATCTAGACTGTTCTAACCTTTCTATTGCAGTATTTTCCAGTGTCGGTGTATTAGGAAGAAGAATGTCTTCTAGACTTCTTATATTCTCCAAAAATGTTGTAAATTCTAGAGAAATACCATCTCGAAGATTGATTGCAGAGAGACTGGGCTTTCTTTAGTTCCTAAGAATACAGCATGGAGAAGTGTTTAGATAACTTTGCATATTGAAAGTAAAACTGAAAATAATTACAGAAAGGTTTATGTCTTCAAAGTGATTTTTTTTTTTTTCTCCTTGGGGTCAGCTGCAGTTGAAAAAGCTAAAATTTTGATAATTTTCTTTGCCTGAAGGGGCCATTGAAGCAAATTATTTGGAGACCTGTTTGAACTGAACAGCTTGGGATTTGTTGTTCCCTTCTTTCCCAAGGACTAAACCCCATCCTTTTAAGGACTCAAGGATCTTCCTTAAGAACAAATTAAGCAAATGGGCAGACAACTTCTTTTGGTCCAAAGCATGTTAGATGCCTTCCCTGGTTTCACCTCCAAAACAGTTTATCTCTGAAATGTGCTAAAAGCTGCACAGGCAGAAAAGACTGTAAAGGGTTCTCTGCTCTAGGCTAGGAAGCATCTACCACTTGATGAATAAATGTTACCACAGTCCTAGAACTACCCTCAAGCATTGTCCAGCTTTTTGTTTTATGTTTTTGTAATCTATGTGAAAAAGTCAGATTCTGTACTTGGAAAGAGAAAATTTCATCTCATCCAAGAAATGGCAGAACTGTCTTTTCATGTGCTGGAACATTAGTTCCCTTTTTTCCTTCAGATCTGTTGACACTGCTTCTTTCATGCCATGCAGATGAGATCTGTTCATAAATATGTCAGCCTTTCAGGGACAGTGTTGAGTGAGTGGCATTTTTCTTTATCAAACTAGACTATTAATATTTACATATTAATGAAGACTGGGCAATTTTTTTTTTGTCATAGACAAGCTATTACTAGTAGTTTATAGGCAGTGTCTTGCTTTTATGCAGGGTAGTGATTTCTGCTGAGTTTAGATTTGGGTGAGAGTCAGAAGCTGGGAACTGCTGCCTCTCAGATAATGCTTTCCAAAGGAAGTGCAGTTTCTAGTGCTGTAGTGCATGATATTTCCCACCAATGCTCAATTTTTCTGACATTTTTGAGATGGAACTGTGGAAAAGGTTGCATATACCCGAGAATAATTTTAATCTTCAATTATGAGTGCACCTTGGAAATAAAGGACCGTAGAAGGTGGTATGATTTATTTATTTATTTTTCTTTTGTGGCCTGGCAGTATGTTTAGTTTCATCAGGTGTATTGTAAAGAAAATAAATGTTTGAATTGTAAAGAAAAGAAATA